AAAGTTATTCAAAATAAATTTGAGAAAAAAGATACAATAAAATCATATGAGGAAGAAAGTCAGTGTGAGAATAGTCATTATGGGAAATTCATATGAGGAAAAAGTTATGAGAAAGTCATAGTAAGAGAAAAAGTCAAATCAAGAGAATAAAGTTGTAATATTACGGGAAAAAAATCATTATGAGAACTTTTACATGATAAATCAGTCTTGCCACTGTGTTAAAGTAAGAAATGTTGACAGACCATGTTGGAGATGCGGCCCACCGTCACAATGCAGGTCTCCAGAACCTGAACCTGCCGCTTTGAAGGAAGCTGAACGATCACTGTTCCATTTACTTTACGGAGCAAAGCACCACTCGTGCCTGCAGCCTGTATGAACTGTGAGCCCTTGCCTGGAAGGATCTCCAGGTTGTTCACCAGCGTTCCCACGGGAAGTGCTCCCAGCGAGAAGGCGTCGCCCTCGTTGGCCGCCACTGCCATGCATCCGATGACGGCCGACGTTCTGATGACGTCTCCAGCCTGCATCTTCTCCGTCGCGATGATCCATCGTTTGCGGTTCCCGCCCGCGATCAGAGCAATGTCAGCAGACCTGCACGGGTTGTACCGCACCTCGACCACCTTCTTCTTGAAAGGCCGGTCCTCTTTGCCGGGTTCGTATCGCAGTCGTTGGAAGTCCACCCATCGGTACCTTTGTTTGTGGCCACCGCCAATCCCGTGGGTTCTGACCCTCCCTGTGTGATCTCTGCCTCCGGTCTTCCTCATCCTGATCGGTTTGATGGTTTACTTCTCCCTCTGCTTCCAGTTCTTCCTGTTCTGCTCCAGAGAGACTGAGGTGAGGAAGCCTCTGCACTGACTGATGGTACCGGACCCCTGAGATTTCAGCTGACAGGCCACCTGTGTGAAAATGAAAAAACTACAGTGGGGAAAATAAGTATTTAGTCAGTCACCAATTGTGCAAGTGTAGTGGCTGAAGATCCACTTATCAAGATAAATAAGAGAGGAGACGATTCTTGGCCAGCCAGAGGGATTTATTTGAGTTCAGTCAGTGACGAGCTTCAACCGACAGATCAGACCTTGCAAACCGAACTGACGCAGTTAGAAAACCATAAGCTTTTATACCCAAGTTGTTTGTGCCAATACAAAGCCAGGAAAGGATGGGCCTTTCCCAGAATGGGCTTGAAATTCAACACCTCCTATAAACACTCATGAAGTGTTTTTGTGGACCACTGATGATGTAATCTTTTCCAGAATATTCTACCAGACGTGACCCCGTGTTCTGACCTTTTGTTCCAACTGAAGTTACAGCTAAAAGCCTCAACACAG